TGAGAGTATGTGATATTGCTATCGGTTATCAATGCCAGCAACCGAAGCCTGCTGCCCAGATGACTGCTCCAGTACTGAAATAGGCTTCTTTCCGGGCCCTGATGAGACCTTAACCATGGCCGGCCTTAATAAACGCTCCCCAAGATAAAACCCTTTACGAAATTCTTGGATTATGATTCCTTCCTTGAAATCTTGCGACTCCTCACGCGCAATGGCCTCGTGCATCTGCATACCAGCAATGAGTGGTGATTTTAAGGTGAGAATATGAAGCCCAGCTTGAACCTCATTTAATGAAAGATTTGCAGTTGATATATATTCATATGCCATAGACTGTAAATTTAACAAGATTGGCCTATTCTTTATTTTCTAAGAGAATCAAATACAAGAAAATCTTGGTGTTCTTTCAAAATTGCAACTAACCATTTACCAACTACTTGTAATAGCCAACAGATGGATCCATATAAAACTAGCAAAATCGTGTAATTTTTTCTTCCCAGTATTCACATGTGACTTCGAGCCCTTAATCTGATCATCTGTTTTTCAAGAAACAACAAATGGTAGTGAAACATTTGGCTAAATGTTTCGATCCAGGGGGAAAAAAAAAAGAAGGAAAAAGATAAGGATTGAGATCTTCGATGAAGCCACGAGCATAAACAACTTCTATCCCAGCAAAATGTACTAAACATAATCAGCAGCTAGTAGCTCAAACATTCAATATGAGTTTTAAGTTTCAAATTTGTCTACTAAATAGACGAGTCGTGATCAGTAAATGGCTCAAGGTTCCTCAGCTGCCTTCACAGTAGTACTGATCTGTGAATCTTAACCTATTAGCTTCAATTGTTCGAAGTTTTATTATTAGGAAAAAGTAGTATATATCATAAATCACCAGTTAAAAAAAAAAAATACTATATTATATCTTCCGGTCAGATATTCCAGGATCCACCCTATCTGCATCACCAGACCCTAACTACTTATAAAAAAAAAGACACCACAACAAGTTGAACTTTTTTTATGAATGAAAAACGAGAGAAGTAAAGATTTTCAGAAGTCTTAGAGTCATATCATACCTTAGGATCAAACGGCTTTCCCACCGTGGGGACCACAGACACTCGCAAGCTCCTCATAATCTCCACAAATTGCTTGTATATGCCTTGGTAGCTTGTGTCAATCTTCTTTTCCCTCTCAGTCTCCAACTTGAGCTGCTGTTTGGCTCTCTCAAAACTATCGACCATTGGCAAGAGGCTCTCCATCACTTCACCTTGGGCATCACTTCTTACAGTTAGTCTTTCTTTTTCTACTCTTTTCCTGTAATTATCAAAGTCTGCTTGCACGCGAAGGTACTTTTCCTTTCCAGAAGATATCTCAGCCGACATGGCCAAAACTTTCTGTGCCAACTCATTTTTCTCGTTTTCTACGGCGAATATCAAATCTTCGATTTCATATATTGTCCCTCCATCACCTACTAGGATGGCTTCCTTGTATGCCTGCATAAGGGCCTTCAGCTTGAGTGGGACTCTTTTACCGGCTGCAAATATTTCTTCATTATCCAACTGCAAGTTTGACAAATGAATCATCTTCATGTTTCGAGATTAAAACAAATTTGTGATAGAAGTTGCTATGCAGGACAAACTAGCTAGATTAGTTTCGTTTATATGGTTGGTAATATTACAATCTCAATGATAGACAACACTTTCAGAAAATGCAATTCTCATGAATACAACATTTATAGGATAACTTCCATCTTGAAAGTTGGATGGCATTTTTTTTCAATATATCTGCGATTTCTCTCGATTTCTAATCCAATACACAAATTGATTGGTTCTGTCGAGTTAGCTATATGTTGTATATTGTCGACGATTTCTACATAAGGCAGTAAGATGATATCTTGAGCAGGACCTTTTGACAGAAATAGACGCATCACAAATCCCATAAAGAATACTTCTCAATACAATTTCTTTCAAATTAATCAAAACTTCGTGGACCGATTCTTGAATACCCGTGTAGAATATTCATAATACTTCAAAAATTCCAAACTTGATGCTAGTTTTTCCAAAGATTCAATTTTTATCCCACTTTAAGGTAATGAATTAACGCTCCAAACTCAGTACAATGTTAGAATCTCCATAAAGACGGGCGAAAAGTCTGAAAAACTCATGGCTCTGAATCATCCCCAAGTACTTTATCCACAATCTAATAATCAAATCTACCTCAAATCATTCTTAATCCAAAAACAAACCAACAGTGACAAAAAACAAACAAAACAAGAACTGAACATATGTAGAATCTTCGATTAGCTATGCTGGGGTTAATTAAAATAAGAAAAAGGAAAAATTACTACATACTTGCTGAGGCTGATTTTCTTGCTGTCTTGAAACAGACAGTTTAGCAAACAAACGCTTCTCATCTTCACACACACCGTTTAAATTTATCGAATCCCTAAATTTCTTATTCGAGCTAAAAACAGGACACAAAGAAACGGCTGTTCTTGAGAATGGTTTTGCGGTGGTAATAAATTGTTGGCTGGCCGTGTGTTTTAGAGATAAATGGTTGGTGGGTGCGGACGAAGAAGAACGAGGGAAGTTGTGGGGTGTATAGAGATAGAAAGCGGTGGAGAGAGAGGCTGAGGCTGCCATTTTTGCTGGTAACAGAGCTTGAAAGACAGGAGGAAGGAACAAAGCAGCCCAGGTGAAGCTAAAAATAAATTGAGAAAAAAGAAAAGGAGCAAATTTTGGGTAATTGGGTGAAAAATGGAGGAGTCTATTGTTGCGTAGAAGAAACTAGAAAGACTGCTTTGGGTCTATTAGGGTACACTCACCTGTGTGCTGTGTTCGGTTAAAACTATTTTATTTTTTATTTTTTTTCTAAAACAAGTTTTAAATTCTCGAGTTTAAAAAATTTTAGTTGTTAAACAAAAAGAGTTGTTTGACTGTTTCTGAGCTCAATTTGTTTCGTTAAAATTCGAGTTTGGGTTATTTAGTTTGATAAACAAGTCGATTCGTTAAAGCTCGAATTCAGTTCGAGCTCGACTAGTTAATATTAATAAACGGATTGAGTTGAAATTCAAGTTCAACTCAAGCTAAATTAATTAATATTGATAAATAAAATGATCTCGAGCTTAATTACAAATTCATCTCGTTTACAATTTTGCTTGTACAATTGCATAGTGATGTAAACAGCTCGAGCTCAAACTCAACAAACTAGTAAAAAACCGAACTCGAGTGTTAACGAATCGAGTTATAAAAAGTCTTATTCTTTCACATCAAATTAACTTTAATTATCTTACATTAAATATATTTAAATATAAATTTAAAATTCTACTAACAACTAACCATACTATTTTTCAAAATTAACTATAATTAATGAAAACACCAATAAAAATCAAATCAAACTAACAACTAATCATATCCTATTTTTTCAAAATTAACCATGATTAATAAAAAAAAAATTAATACCAAATCAAATTCATATCCAACACGAAGCCATGTTTCGAACACAAAAACAACCACAATGTGAAAAACAACCACACCAGAGTTCTAAAACACACCTCACAACTTCAACAGCAACTGACATCCAAAAACACTCAGAAATAGAACACACCAGCACACACGAGCCATGCGAATGGCATTATTTTCGCAAATGAAACAAAACCACACATCACTGCACTGATTAAACCAAGCAAAACAAGGAAAATCATAAAACAAGCAGAACAAGTCTTCAACTCTTCATAGAATCTCTCAATTCTCTATTCCTCCTCGGTCTCAGACTCGGCACTCTGGAGCCACTCCACAAACGGCTTCACATTTTTCCAAATAGACGACCCTTTATTCCCACCCTTCAGCCCCTTCTCATACCACTCCACAATAAACTCCTCCTCAAGCACATCATCATCGTACAAAGCCTTCAGAACAAGAGCAACTTCCTTCACAGCCTCCGAGCTCGCCTTCCCACAGAAACTCTCCACAGCATGAAGCAACATGGGCTGTGACCCCTCTTCCTGAACTGCAGCAGCAAGATACTTCTTCTTCTTCACAACCTCTTTCGAGAATCCTTTTCCAACTCCCTCAAAAAGTGCCTCAAACAATGCATCAATAATCTCCTGTTTGTCCCCAGCAAGAGACTCCAAAAAGGGCTTCAGCTGACTCGCTGGAGAGCCCTTCTTCACAAACTCCTTAATCGAGTCAAAGATGGTTTTCACACCATTTGCTTCCCCATTGTCCTTTTGTTTGCTGGATTTCGGCTTTTTTTCGTCAGTCGAAAGAATGACCATTCCAGCTGTCACTGCATTGAGCTGCTCCTGAATAACCTTCTTCACAGCAATTTCAGAGGTGTCCGTCTGCCACTCCCCATCATCACTGTCCTCTGCAACAGCTGGCGCCACGTCATGCTCATCCACCTGGCTTCTGGGCGGCGAGCGGTCCTCGTCTGAGTTCTGGGATTTCTTCTTTCCGGTCAATTTCTCCTTAGAGCCTCCCTTCTTCTTTCCGGCAGCTTCCTTCTTCAGCTTCTTCTGTTCTTCATCAGCTGCCTCACCTTCCTTGAGCCGCTCCTTCTCAGCCCTCCTCATGGCTTTCTTGTCCTTCGACCCCTTCTTAGATTCGGGCGGGTTTTTTATAATGAAAGTCGTGAGCTTATCCCGCATGTCCACTTCCGAGATAAAGCCACAAGCCGCACACTTGAGATTGATCATCTGAGACTTTGTGATGATTATCTCGGTTTCAGGGTTCCCACACCCGTAACACTGGACAAACTTCTTGATGAAGTTTTCAAGAAGGGCCGCCAGCTTTGACGTGTCGTGTGCACCATTAACGTGAGAAGTACCCGTTTTATCATCAAATTTGGACTGAGCCCCGAGCTCACAGCCAAAGTACTTAGTCGTGTACGAAGCAGGCCTCCCGAGGGCTTTGGCAATGTCAACCATGTTGACCACGTTCGTTTTGATCCCATTACCACGGCCCTCGATTTTTGTTATCATCTTGGGCATCTTGTACCTGTAAAAGGCATCATCTTTGTTGTCTGCACCAATATTTTGCAAAGCCATTTTGTTCAGAGCTATCGAGATATAATAAATTTATCAGAAGGGCAGTGATAATTTGTGGGCTTGGAGAAAAGTTTCTTCTTCAGGATTGTAATTATTCCACGCAGCAGGAGCAGCCCACATAAACTGGCAGTCTTGACAGAGTTTTCTGTGTCCCTGGCTTAACTCGAGATGCATGCAGCCAAGTTGGAAACACGGATATCTATCCTTTCTTCTTGAAGGACAGTACTCGCCAAGCAACCCAATTGTTGATAAAGAGAAAGTGGCTTGTTCAGACATAAAAAATGTTTCTAACTTAGGTGACTCCACTTTTTCTGTATGCAGCACCTGAACCCTGAAAAATATACCAAATTGGGGATGTTCAAATTTAGCTCCAAAATCAATAATCAATAACATAACAATTACTCCAAAGTGACAACTATAATAACATGCGCATTAAGATCAACAATTTATCAAGTAATGTCTTAACAATTATTTTGGACAAACTGAACAATTTACTCAGTAAAGGATAACAGCAGCAGGGATTTTCTAATTCATGGATGGAAAACAAAAAAAAAAAAAAAAAGAACTAACACCTTTATTCAATATACACATGGTACAACAATACAAAATCTCCAGTCTAAAATAGTAATCTGGGAATCTAATCCAAGGAGATCATCAGTTTTTCAGCTGACGAGTTCATCAAATTATCGAATAACTCTATTATTTGATAGAGCTAAAGTCAACATCAAAACATAATGAATTATTATATCTAGATCATTCAAAAAATACAACAGATATAACTTCAATTATGAAAAGCAACCAAAAAGAGAAAAAACAATCCACACAGCTCCTCCATCTATTTCAAACAGAGTCACAACCACAGATCTAAATATCGATCAGCAAACACAGCGCATACTGACAGCAAATATCAAACCCATCCAACAATTTCACAAGCAAAGATCGAGCCAACAGAACCCAATCCAAAGGTCACATTACAGATCCATAAAACAAATCAACAACAGGCCCATTAACAAAACGAATCAGACAATACCTTGCTTGAGACGATAGGAGATGATAATAAATCTCAAACGGAGGAAAAAAGGTATGCAGAGCTTGCGTATGGAACTGAACAAGTGGTTGAGAGGATGATAAATCGAGATGAAGATGAGAACGATTTATATAGAGAGGCGATGGGAAACCCTAGCTGTCAAAGGGGGAATGAGATTTTAGGAGCAAAAGGCCAAAAACAAACCAATACGAGTCCAACACCGCCCAAAATAAACAAAAGACCCCGCTCTTTTTTGTTTTTTTGTTTTTTTTGTTTTGTTTTTTTTTTTAATTCTCTATCTCTCTTCAGAATTTTCTGGTTGTGTATTTTACTATTTTTTGCCCAATTTGGATTTTTATTTATTTAAGATTTAAGATTATACAATAATAATTCAGATCTTTCTTTTAATGATTAAATTACAACATTCAACAAATAATTAAATATTATATAATGATGTAAGATCCATAAAATTAGTTCCGCTGGTCTAGACCTTTACAATATAAAAATATATATAATATAATATAAGTTCAAATATCCATGAAGATTTAGAAAACATTTCAATATTTAAGTGAATTATATTTACTCATTCGTATTAGAAAATTTGATTGTGATAGATAAGTCATGAATCTTTTGAGATTTTGTATGACTTTAAAAATCTGATGCATTTAACCTACCTTGTTTGGTAAAAGAATGAAACAAGATAAAAAATAATGTTAGAATGACAAATACATCTTTAACTAGTTGTAACCCGTGCATTTGCACGCAAAGTATATAATAACAAAAATAAAAATTATAAATATAAACCATTGTTTTTTGACCAGGACCGACCCGAAGGGTCGACCCGGAGTCGAAACCAGTCTGGGTGGGCTATTTGGACCGGGTAACAATGGACCCGGTCAAACGCGGTCAAAATCCGGCCAACCGGCATTGACCCGGAGTCCCGGGCCATTGACCCCGGTCTCTAGAATTTTTTTTTTATATATATATTTTTATATAAAAAATAAAAACTATGTAAATATAATGATATAATAAATATTTATTGTGAGATACAATATTATTAACACTTAAATGTACAAATGTTATTGGCAAAAAAAAATGTACAAATTTTGTATACAAAACATTTATTTTTGTTACTTTTATGTATATTTATATGTCAAAAATACTATATATATAATTTTAAAAATTTCAAAATTAATTATCCGGTTCAGCAATTGACCCGGTGACCCGGCGGTTGAACCGGTGACCCGGTGACCCGGAGACCTGCCCGGGTCAATTTTCGGGCCGAGTGTAAAAACTATGATATACCCAATAGTCATTTTGTTATAACACTTCAATATATACAATTCGTGGTTTTTTATCATCAGAATTTTCATCACCACATATTACTATTTTCAAACCCCTCCGACTCGTAAATCTCAAAAGCGCCACGTATAATTGTCCATGGCTGAATACATAGCTCTCCAGTAATATTGATATGCGACAGAGACTGTCCTTGACTTTATTGATCGTCATAACATAGGAAACCATGAGCGGAAACTTCTTGCGATGAAACTTGAAAGGTATCATCAAATCGAATGGTATGATTGTAAGTCTCGGAATAAAAACCTTATCACCAGCTTGGGCACCGGTTAAAATTTTGCATTCAAGGACATGACTGCTAAGCTTAGTAATAACCCATCGAGTACTTGTTGATCTCAAAATTCGGACAAAAAAAGCATATCACTCGAATTTGTACACGAATCGTAGAAAATATAAATGATAGATAGAATTTTGATCAACAGAATCGTTGCACAACCCATAGAATTCTAGAATTTTGAAAAAGGTAACATTTTATACCGTCTTAAGTTGTTTCTGTGTACGCATTGTTGTTTGAAGTGAAAAGGATTAAACAATGACTGCTTTTAGTTGTATATTTATTCTTAATAAATTGAATCAAAATGATACTTTTCGAAGAATTATATATTTGTTTAAAGAGGAGCTCCGGAGGAAAATGGATGATATAAGAAAACATATAAGTATTTTGAATATTTCTACATTAGTCACTCTTAAAATGTAGTAGATGATGTATCTAATTTAACTATTTTGGTATATGTTTAGGAAGATGAAACAAACCAAGATCAAAAGGGAAGATGAAGCAAAAAGAAACACAACCAATAGAACACAGTCCTTAGGTATTAACAGGTATAATGTTACCACTTTTAGTACGCTTTTAGCTTTGTTCATTAATTTCATGATCGCATATCTTGTTGCCAATTATAATACTGCATGGTTGTTCAGAAATTTTTTTATTATGTTTTTCCTTGCCTTTGTTGCCAATGAGAAAATTTTCTCTTTGTTCTAAAACGTGATCCTGTATCTTGTTGCCTTTGTTGCCAATGATAATACTGCCTGTTAGTTTCTTCATTGCAAAGACAAACAAATGAGTGTATTTCTTGTTGATGGTTGTGGTGATATTATGTGATTTTTGTTGTTGTACATCTTATAAACATAAAAATGAAACTATTCTGCAGGTTTATGTAGATGTATTGAGCAACTATATATGTAAATGTGTTTCATGCAATATTTACATTTAATTGATGATTTGAAAAACTGAAAGAGTCAAAGCAAACCATAAATCTGACTAATTATTTTAGCATATTTCATGGGTAGGAGTACCAATTTTAGGAAATATATTTACTTTTGTTCTTCATGACTGAAAAATTAAATGGCATTCTAGTAACAAAAATATAAATTCGTTTATCATTTATTTTATAAGAGCATTATGTGGACATAATTATTTTTTGTATTGAGATGGTAGTTTATATGGTAAATTAACAGATCTGCTACCCTACTTACGGTGGACATGGAATTAATATGTTCATCGCTTATGTGGCATGTACACATTGAGCATAAACCGTGGGAGAGAATTAATATGTCCAATATGTACATGCTACATAAGCGGTGGTTATATTAATTTCCTGCCCACCGTGGGTAGGGGAGCAGATCCGAGTAAATTAACAAAAAAAATGACATAGTAGAATGTAAAATTGATATGTGTAATGTTTGTATTTCATTTAGATTCGCGGAATTTTAAATTTTGCTGAAATCTATTTGTGAGAAACATGAAATTTATTTGTTGTGTATCTAGTTAGCATAATAACTAATTTAGGATTTATTTTAATCAGTTATTATGCTGAATTTAATTATAGTGCATTAATTAGTATTTTTTGTGTACGAATAAATTAATTGAGAGTGATTTGTGTAAAAAGAAAAATAAACTGAAAACTGACTTGCATATAAATCCTCTATTGTTCTTCATTTTCTTAATGTATTGACGTCAAACTTATTGCTGAAATTATGGTAAACAGATTAAAAGTTATCTTATTAGGTAAAATTTTTAACTTGAAAACTGACTTGATATACAATTATTTTTTAACCTGAAATGAAGCTAAATCGAGTACATCTTATTGGGATTAAGTTGTAATTTAAATTTAAAAAATTTATAATGCTTACTATAATTGTTATGCTTGAATTGTGGAATTTTTTAATTGTAGTTATCATATAATTTGTTTTAGAAAATTAAATTTAAAAACCTGTTTTATATTGTTCTTAATTTTTACCGATGTAGTAATGAAATATGATTTAGTTATTATATATTTGTCTAAAGTTTATGTTATAAAATTAACTATCATTTTTGCTTTTTGTATAAATAGATTGATTGAGATATTTGTGAAAACAAACTGAAAAATGAAAAATTAGATCAATTCTTCAATATCGATGCTATAATTTGCAGAGCTAAATTGAACTATAAATTCTTCAGTATCATTATTAAATTATTTATTTATAAAAATAGTGTTTGTAATATTGTGAGATCACTAATATTAATATGTCATATTTTTCCGGATTTCAGCAGGAAAATGGATATTTATTATTATTTGGAAGATTATTTTTATATCATGATATGTAAATTTTATTTTATTTGCTGCTAAGTTTATTATAAGTTTTTTTGATATATGAAATGAAAAAAAAAAAAAATTGAAAGTCAAAATGATATACATAATTATTTAGGTTGTAAGTATATGTTATTGATGAATTAATAATTCAAAAAAAAAAAAGTTAAAACAATCATCTTTGGAACCAAACATAATATATGTGTCAATCATTTATTTGAGAATAGTATAAATTGTTGTTAACATATAAATAAAGTTTAAGAAAAACTTGCTTTATTTAGACCAAAATGTTTTGGGCGGAAAATGTAGGCTATCCCCATTAATTAGATAGCCTACTATTATATATATATGTTTATAAAATATATGTGATTTTAATTCATTTTATTACGTGTGTAGTCTATGTTTATAAAATATATGTGATTTAACTTTATTTATATTAATAATTTATAAGGTTTTACCACTTGAGGGAATTAAATCTTTCATTTTAATTATGAAACTAATCTTTCTTATTATTTTATAATTGGTATATGTTGATGGAGTATGGTAGGAAATTAAATTACAAAAATATAATTTCATTTTTATTGTAATGTATCGTAATGTAACATAATTTGAAATTATAATTTTTGTATTTGATACATTCATTAATATTGTTTATAATTTTAATTTTAATTGCTTAATAACAAAAGTAACTGCCATGTGGATGTGACGTTTTTTATACATCTATGAATGATATTAGAAAACATTAATGTGAGATTAGTGTAAACAACTTACTTAATTTAGCTAAAATTTGGTTTAGGAGGGAAAATGTAGACTATCTCATTTATTGGATAGCCTACAATAATATATATATAGATGATATTAGAAATAAAATTAAAATATTATATATAATAAGGGCAAAATAGTAAATGTACAACTTAAAATTTTCCCTCCTCTCCTCCCCTCCCCTCATTTTCCTTCCAACCAAACACTACCTAAAATATTCAAACTCACTTTCTAACCATTATAGTAGTCACAAATGCATTATCCCTAGTACGTTCTTAAGCCCAACCAAAATAGTTGCACAAATACATAATCCCTTGTACATTTGAAGTCTCACCGACGCTATTTTACAAGCTGATCCAACGGTTCCTGAAATCTCAAGAGGCTAAAAATTCGATCACATCATATAATATAAAAGGTAATAAAAAACAATACACTTTAATTTAACTCAACAATAGATTAAAATCATAAAATTAGTTAACTAGGATTCCACATCATTCGAATTATGATATATTAAACACATTTTCTCTAAGTTCAAGTTAGTATATTGACTTCTCAATAATCAACATTTTAACCAAAGCTAACATTCGACATGTTTCTATATTTTATTTTTAAACAAATATGACGATTTACTTGCCTAAACATTTTTAGTATTTATTTTTAAACTATCTTTATTTTCAACCCAACACAACCTAAAATATTTATTTTATTATTATTTATTTAGAAATTACGAATGTATTCCAAATCTATTTAATGTAGTCTCTATTTAAAGAGAATAAAAAATTACAAATTTTAATATGTTTTATTATTTTTAACGAAAAAAAACACTTGTTCATTAAGAATGGGACACGTGTCCCATTTCCAAACAACAAACCGATCGCGACGAAGGTCACATTGTGACCTGCGCAACACTGATGACCTTTTTTTTTTTCTTTTTTTTTTCNTACAAAATGCGGAAGTGAAAAGTGAAAATATGCCACTTACTAAAAAAAAAAACTTCATAGCCATAAAACATACAATGATACGCCTCTATAAGGAATTCTAGATTGACATGCAACATGGTCCGCAGCAGATTTGTCTTTTATGCTCAAATCATGGCTTTTATTATCCAAAGTGCAGTTTTCATTAACCCTACACAACCACAAAAGTCATGAAAATCTAAATTCTGTGAATAGATAATCCCCCAATTGTATGGTCATGCTCGATTCAGGTCACAAAACACTGGTTTCGACTTTCGATACAAGACAAACCATTTTATGTCTCAGCATTTTCCTAATATTGTTCGGTCAGCTTCACGACCGAGCAATTGACCTCTAAATAACCAGGGTAAAATTTACAAATTCTCATTGAGACTGACAAAATGCAGTCGATAAACGAAAAAATGAGACCAAGGCTGAAAATCATCTGATACTCCTCAACAATTGGATAAAAATTACAAAACACACACAAAGAAAATGGGCAACCAATGTATGGATCAGCAAGAGAATTTTGATCAAATGCCGGACACATGATGGTAGCTCGACTAAAATCGAAGCATGGGATAGAAGCACAAAAGATGTCGGGCTGAAGTCTAAATCGCAATCCAATATTAGGATATGCAATCCTCGCCTTTTTTCTCAACAACCCATCACCGCCTAGCTTATTAAGCTCGGCAGTATTTTTATAGAAGAGGTTGCGAAAGCCACAAGTGTGAAACTCGAACATGGGCAGGGGCCCTCTCCATCTTTTTTTAACGACTTTCTTTCGAAACCTTTATCCCATGGCTACCAACAATGCAGTCCAGCTCAGACCTTTTACTTAATTGCCATCATTTCCATATCATAATGACTCAAGGACACACCAACAATTAAAAAATAAAAAAAAATTAAAAATACTATAAGATATGAGATTTTTCATGGTCTTTCAGGCAAGGTGCACGACAAAATATAAAACACACAACTGATCTTTTTATAAGATCTCACATCAAAATTAATGCCTTTAAATTTCGAGCAAAATCATAAAGAATCCCCAAAACTGACCAATGCACAAACAATAAATACCGACATTTCAGTAGCAAACATAATGCAAGTTCTCATAGGCAACTTTTCATGTCGCCCAGACTGCTCGATCATGACTCTGCATGTCCACAAGAAATATGGAAAACAAAATACTATTAAAAACATTCTTTTGCAGAAC